TAACATAACTCCCTTTAGCTTTTACTCTAAGCTCTCCTGAGATATTTGAATTGATTACTCAATTTTTAAATTTAGAACTACACATATATAACATATAATTCCATTCAAAATTAAGTTAATAGCAAGGAGTTTTAGGAAGCATTTTAGGAGACTATTATCAAAATAGTTTCTCAGAATTTCAATGGGTCAAAATATTAGAAGAGAAGATATAAATGCCTTCCAGATAAGAACTTTCCTGTTTTTCCATACTCTTTGTATTTGGGGTTTTGGAATAGTAATTACTTTCCTTTCTTTCTTCCTTCATGTCCTGTCTTTTTTTTTTTTTTTTTAATAAACATGCACACAACAATCATCCTTAAAGCACTGAGTTATAGATTATAGTTTCTATGCCTATCTGTTCATTTTACTGCAAAGAACATGGATTCAATGGAAAAATACCTTTTATGAGAAACTGTTTCTGATCTGTTATAATTCAAAACAGAAATAAAAGACATAATGTAATGAATCTGTGAAGGGAAGAAAGAATACTCACATTGAAAAAACTCATGTATATACACAAGGTTATTGCATAGTATTTACTCAGCCATGTACATACAAAAAATTGCCACTGGCATTTCTTCTTCTCCTATTGAAAGAGTTTTTAACTTCGGCAGGAATGAATACGACAGAAACCAAAATCTACTATAAGCTGTAAAATCCCCTGCAGTGGTACTGATATAAACTGAAATATAACTTTTTTAGATATGTGAGAAACAATTCTCTTTCACTTTTTTTTTTGCATGTTCCTGATGTGACTATGACAAATAAAAATGTAATATTGTTAAAATACTGCTAAAAGAACTCAGATCACTCAAATAGAAAAAATTCTCCAACTTTATATATTTAACATCTCTGATTGATAGAAAACTCTAAAGATGGTATTTTTTTAAATGTCCATATTAATGATCTTTGGTTCTAAGTTAGAATAGGAGCAATTTTTGGTGAGTGGGGTATATTGCTGGTAGAAGGCACAAGGTGGGGGGTTTGAGGTGCTGTTAAAGTTCTGTGTCTCCATCTGGTTGTTAGTTGGATGAGCATGGTGAACATTCACTGAGTTGTACACTTATGTGCAATTTTCTGTTGCATGTCATATATATTTATAAATGCATATTCACAAATGCCTTTTCAATTTGAAAAATATATGAAATTCCATGTAAAGTAAGGCTGTTATATTACATATTTAAAATAAGTTGTAAAAAGCTGGCATGAGGTTATCATGTTACATGATATTTAAATTTCCCACTCTTAGATGGAGTTTATGTTCAATCTATAAGAAAGGCTCCAAATGAGTTTTTACTAGCAAGGGAATAGCATCAAGCTCTTTTATCATGAAATGATAGCTTTCTTAAGAGAATGTAACAGATCTTAGGAGAGGATTTGGGGCATAGGGATCAGGGCTGGCTTCATGCAGTGACACATTTGGAAGAGGTTTTAAATTAAACATTGTACAGCAGAACACCAATGAGCTTGTGAAGCCAGGACAGAAAAAGATGGATGAACCATTATTAAAGAGAAGTCATTCCCTTGTATTCTTTTTGGTGTTCATCCACTAATAATCTAATATCACTTTGGTCTCTTTTCGTTTCTCTAATGCTGCCATCCTTCAAGGACCGGTTTAACACTTCCTCGCCAATGAACACCTCCTAATATCATATATCTGAAAGAGCTTTATCCTTTTTATAAGTCCTCAATAAATGTAAATGAGATAAAAAATATTGAGCAAATGATAAAATAATTTGTTTTTATCTGCAAAAAATCCTCTAGTTTTGCAGGCAGGAACCATGCCTGACTTATTTTATCCTCTGTCAGAGAGAACTGCACATCATGGACTTCCAAGAGCTGATGGTCTTAAAAATGAAAATATTTCCATTAATACCTGAAGATAACATGAAACCTCAGCTGAATTTGAAATGTAAAATTTCTGCAGTGGTCGTTTTTCACATTTAGATTCCAAAGCTATGTGTACTATTTCTAAGATCTCCGAAGTTTGTAAACATAAAATAAAAAGAAATAAAAACCACTCAGATAATAGCGTAAAGAAAGCTTTTAAGCGGCATGCCAAAATTGGAGAATATATATTTTTTAATTCATTTACACATCATTATATGTCAAAAGTTAGTTTTAGGTAAAAAGAATAGAAAGTCTGCCCTCTAGAAGCCTACAATTTAGACAGAGCAACTATCTAAAATGTGATAATATAGGTTTATAAATGTTTAGATGCAATAAAGATGGACGCAGATGATAATGAGTGAGATTAGAAGTTCTGAGAATGATAAGTAAATGCTTTCTGATATTTAACAAGTCTTCTAGCAGGATAATGAAAAGAAGATAAAGCACAGAAATATTAAAGTGGGGGCAGAATGACATGAGAACACACTTAGATTTGAGAACATGAATAGAATCTGAAAGGCTGTGAGGAAATTAGCTTCTTTAGAGCAGATGTCAGATTGCATAGTTCTACTGGACGAAAATGTGGAAATCAAATGCCATATCCTTTTCAATTTAAGTCCCCAATTTTTCACACTTAGCTAACAAGTTACAGCTTTATTTATGCATTCGTTCAATGTGTATGCAAACATCTGTATAAATACCATTTCATGTCTACCTTTACCTGTGACATCTGTCTAATTTATGAGCTTAAAGCAAGTTATGAAGGTTTTTTTAACCAGGTTATACAAGGATACACAAGTACATTTTTTAGTAATAGTCCTCTCATCTAGAGGCATGCTTAAAAAATGTTTAGACCCTGAAATAGTGTATTTCTAGAAGTTATAATGAAAGAAAATACAATCATTTAAGATATATTTTATAAAAGATGTTCTCTGTTATGATTTTATCTCAAACACATTGTATAAACTGTCCATATCATTATTAGCAGGATATGATCATATTATACAAGTAATTATTAGCATCATTTAATATTCTGCATTGGTATGATAGTGAAAGTTCATTATAAAGCAGCTTAAGTGGACATGGTCATCCTATCTCTTGGGAGTTTACAAGATGGAATCCGATTTCTTCTCCAAAAAGGTTGAAAGCATTCATTTTGGACAAGTATAAATATAGTCCAAATATAAGCAAGGAACTTGTCTCTGTGGAGAATTAACCACAGTTATTTCAGTTAAGTGACAATTCTCACTTGAGAAACCACCAGGAGGGCTTCCACAAATGATTTACTCAGGACGCTTAAAGCAATTTTACTCTGAAGATTTGTCACTTTATAGTCACATCCTATATAATTCAGTAGCTCCAGAGGATTTTTTTCTGCATAATTATAAGATTAGAGGCTTATTTTGGGAGCCATTAATAATATCAACGAAAGGATTAAAATAATCTCAATGAAAATCATATAGAAATCTAACAGCTGAAGTTAATGCTTCTGCTACATTTTAAATGAGAACCTAATCACAGAAAAAGCAGAATCTCCTACCCAACCCATTACCTTATATGGAATCCAATGTTTGGTGGTCTGACAGAAACAAATAAAATGCCCATTCCTTATTACTCATGGAAAACCACTCCTAAAAGACCATTACAACACCTACATGCAATGAAATGATTAGACTTCTTTTACGCATAACATTAGAAATTTTAACCGTAGTTGTAGGCATGTCAAATATATAACGAGAGATACACAAGAACCAGATTCAACTAAACTAATATCAAATGGTACCCCTAATTTTAAAATTTGATTTCTCATAAACACTCACCTTAGCATGAACCAGTGTTTTAGAAATAGAAAAACAAAAGCCTTCAGGTTTTCCCAGAGAGACCATTATCCTTCAAGTATATCTCAGGTACTTTGATCCTCAGAAACCTGGCATGTTATAATTTCTCTTAATAATTTATACAACAGCAACTTATAAAAATAAAGTATTGACTCTATCAACTTTTTAAGCACACACAAACATATACATATCTGAATTTTAAGAGTATCAAGAAGACAAAAGGTTAAAAATAAAGAGGGCTTTTGTAAGCACAAGATAGTCCTTGAAACATTCTATTTTTGCTTTTATACTTCAATTTATACTTCAATTTATTTATTTTTACATATGCTGAGATTTCCCCCATATTTTAAGAGATCTTTACACAACAGAAGGTATGTCTAAATAGAAATCTAAAGAAAAAACAAATTCACTAAATAAATCATTTATTATTTAAAACTTACTTTGTGAGCAAGTAATCTGAAAGCATGAAGGCTTATATTAAATAAATGAGTTCTCTGATTTCTAAGAAATCGCAATAACAGTGAACAAATACTTAAAACATATCTAATATTTAGCAAACTTATAAAAAAAATTTAACATAATTTAAAACTGCTATAGGATAGAATCCTATTGACCAGACTCTCTAGAGTTGAAAATCTTTATTTTCTTATCTAGTGATACAGTACCTTAATTTATATTTTAATATGGCAATATTTTTTAGAACACTTAAATATATTAAAGTAACGGATATACTAGTTATTTAAAATAACTTTTAAAATTGTTTCCAAGGGCAAATAATCTTTAATCAATAGTCTTTTATTATACTGTATTTTGATTAATGGTTATAAAAATTGCCTGTTATTTTAATTTTTATTCTTTTTCCCACACTGATAGAAAGTAATTGTTAGCAGTAAAATAACTTTTCTGTAATTTCTGGAAAAAACTACAAAATTCTACTTTTGGAAAATGTGAAAAATAAATTGAGTTTCTCATGTAATGAACCCAGTTCTAGAAAACATAAAGCAGACCATGAAATTTAATAACTAACCTAATCAATTTTAATAATTTTCAAATGTCATTCATAATTTCAAACACTAGTGTTTTAGTGGAGAATAGTTTGATATTGAAAAAGTAGTTCAAATTATTCTAATAACACAATATTATTTATGTTCTTACCTATGCTGAATGTCACACAGATGCATGTAGAGAGTTTATATTAAATGCACAAAGAAAAAAATATTAGAAGTTTCATACCTTTGAGACATAATCTTATAGGCATCTGGCAGATAGCATCGTATATTCTCCATCTGAGCAGGGTCAGAGTCACAGATTTTGTCATCAGTCCTCCCATAGTTGGCACTTTCAATCATGATGACATCTGTTCCTGGACAGCGGAGCTCTATGGGGTAGCTCTCACAGGAGAGCTCTCTTCGTACCACAGCCATCGGTATTGGGGCGCGGCTGAAAGCTACCGGAAGGAGGAGGAGGAAAAAGAAGTCCCTTTTATAACATACAAAGGAAAGTTCATGTGCTTGCCTTTCCAGTGTTTGGGTAAGCTAATACCAACTAATAAGGCAGTTACAATTCATAATTCTAACTAAAATAGAATATCACTCTAACGAATACCTTTATTTCTTAAAAACCTTATCTAACAGTTTCTTATAAATGGAAAAGAAAATGTTCCAGATTTTTAAAAATTTTGGCCGGTATATGAGGTAGACTGTATAGAGATATCATCGAATTTGCTTAGTAAAATACTCAAATAAGCCTCGGGGCGAGGGGGTGGGGGCGGTGTGTGTGTGTGTGTGTGTGTGTGTGTGCGCGCGCGTGTGCGTGCGTGTGTGTGTGTGTGTCGTGTGTTTTGCTTCGTATATGAAAACGGCTACCAAAAAAATTGAACTAATTGTTCTTGCGTTTATATTTAAATAGTCTATTTAAATTTTATTTATTTAAATAGTCTTAATTAAATAGTTTATTATGTCTATTTCAATTTTAAAATACAGTTTTATTGTTTTAAGTAATAGTTAACATAATCGATATACTTTGGAGTTAAATACAGAAATGATTAATTTTCTTTAAGAAAACGAGATACGTAAGGAGAAAAATTAAATTTTCTTTCTGCTCTCTGCCCACACCTTTCCCCCAATGTCAAGAGGTAACCAGTTAACAATGTGGTAACCTTCCTATCAGAACTTTCTGCAGAAAAAACAGATATAATGTTTCCTCCCACCCCTTTTTAATTCACTCAAGTAAATTTTACAGAGGTCATAGCACATTACATATTGTTTCATAACTTGATTTATTTTATTAATTTAACAATATATGATGAAAATCTTTTTTATTTATATGTGGTATTCCTCATGCTTAATAGATGCATTATATATAAAATATTTAATTGGTCTTATGTTGATGGACATTTAGGAATATCTCAGTGTTTTTGTGTCACAATACTGCAAAGAGGCATTAACATATTGTGTACCTAGGCTATAATATTAAAAAATATATATATAATTATTGAAATATATTTTATGATATATTTCTATAAATAAAATTATTGTATCAAAGGGAATATATATTTCAAGGTTGGCAAATATCAAGTAGATGTCCAAAATGTTTAATAAAAATGTACATGTCCATCACCAATGCTATTCTCTTCAAAACTACATATCACCGATTCCTTTAAATTTTGTTATTGTGATAGATAATGACATAAACCTTATTTAAATTTTTACTATTCTATTTGTACAATGAAATAAAATTCCATACATTTATTGACCCCTCATATTTCTTTTTTTTCTGAATTGCTTGTTCACATTTAAGTTTGCATTGTAAAAGTTTTTTGTATAGCAAAAAAATTGAAAATTTGATCTTTATATTTGTGGCAAATGTTTTTGTAGTTTATTGTTTTGTTTTAGATGTTTGCTGAACACATATATTTCATTTTTATACAGCCAAACATCTATCTTTTTCTGTTAGGTTTTACAGTTTCTTTTCTAAGACTACAAATATAATCTGTACATTATTGGAAGAAAGTCAAATGTTTAATTGTTGAAACTCAACAAATCTTTTAAAATGGATGTAACTGAAATTCTAAATTGTTTACTAAACATCCAATAAGTTGATTTTCACATAAGAGAATTAATTTTAGAGATAGTTATAAATTTACACTGATAATTAACTCACTCATGTGTTAGAACATGTATTTAAATAAATACATTCAACTTTTCTTGTTGCTTTTTTTTACTAAGCATGAAATGTGAAAGAAAAAAGAGAGAGAAAAGAAGCAAAAAAGTAAAAAAAAAAAGAGTAAGGGTAGAGAGAAAGGTTTTATTACCATAAATATTTTCACTTGAAACTTAGAGAAAATACTGATTTGATTATGAAACCATACTTATTATTTCAAAGTTGAGAATGACATTAGTTTTACCATGATTTTATAATATTTTAGAAAAGCTGTAACTGTACCATAGACCCCATGCATAAGTAAAGTTCTCAAGTGTACACAGTTAATTCCATTCTGATTGTCATTCAACATCTTGTTTATTCTCTCTCTCTAGACTCTCTCTTTCTCTTTCTCTCATCTAGCATATTCATGGCTCAAAGAGAGTTCATATAATTAGAAGTGGTTAACAATATTTTTAAAATTTGATATTCAGTCAACATTTTGACAGTATTCTCACAATAGAAAGGCACTGAATTTCTGAAATGTGCATTTCTATTATTTCTAAAATAAAATAGCCTTATTTACCTATTACTCAGAAATTAGATGGTTGTTTAAACATAAAGTCATTTTTAATTCCGAGAGTCTATTTTTATAGATAAAGACATTTTCATTAATGTATTTAGTATTTTCATTAAAGGAATCATTGAATAATAAAAATGTTCCAATTTGGGAATCCAGTTTCAGGATTTCAGTCAGTTTAAATGGAATTATAGAGGTTTATTATTAATAAAAGATCATTTAAATTAGAATTTTCCCACGTGTTTACAGTAAATATTTGAGCATTTGCTAAGAGACAATTTGCATTCTAGCTTTGGTATAACCATTAAAAAATCATGTTGAAACTGCTTCAACATTGAATTATCTGGCTATATTTTTTTAACTAACCACAAGTTAAATTAAATTTAAAACCAGTTAATTTAACAA